TGGCACCGACGGCAAACAAACGAGGAAAGAGGTTGTGTCTTCGAACAGCTGTTTTCCAAAATGGAGTTAGTCGTGTCTGAGCCAATCAGATCCCGCCTGTGGAGGCTCCCACTCCTCTGTGGGCTGGAGGAGACACACACACATACACACACACACACATACACACACTCACACGCACACTCACACGCACATCACGTTCTTTTATTGTGCAGCTTTCTCTCTGGGTGTGTTTTTAATCTCTCCTGTCAGAGACATCAAACCACCAGAGGTGATCAGATTTCCTCACAGGGAAGCCTCAGATGTTTTTTTGTTTTTTTTTTACCACATGTTGGATTCATTCCTGTTTTTTCACAGGGGCGGATCCAGGATTGTTCTGGGGCCACAATTTATGTGGGGTCCATAGATCCGTGCACATTTCCTAAACTCAGCAAGAGGAACATTTGAGTTGTCCCTCGGTGACCGTTCTCTCTACAGCTTTGAGCAAAGCCACAAAAAGCGTAGGTGCACGTCAGAGTACACGTGTAAGCATAGGCTACGTCGCAGCTTCAACACAGAAGCGTGAATTGGGCTCATGTGAGAACGCAAATGTCAGAGCGAACGGCTGAGGAATGTATCCGGAGACAGCGACCCGATTGTGCGGACATTCTCCGGAGGTCCTGACTGAAAGAGGCGTCAAACGACACACCGCCGGTTAAACTGTTGGAAGAAGAAAAGCACAGAGACGCCACCTGATGAATTTAAATTGTTCCTGAAAAGATCAAAAATCAATTAATCAAGAAATCTGCAGATGAATCAGTGACACTTTCATGAAGTTGAGGTTCTCTCATGAGACAGACAGCAACTGTTATGAACTCCCACTGCATGAGTGTGCACCACCACCGCCGCCCTGTTCAGGGAGCGAATGTCATGGAAACAGAAAACCAACAGTGTCCAACAGTGTGGGCTGTGAGGAGCTAGAATAGAGTCAGAACCTCCTGAAGGAGACAAACTAATACGCCCCGTGTGAGTCGTCCTGTATCAGAGCAACACACTCACATGCCAAACCTATTTCCATCTCCTCTGTAAGACACAGCTCGTCATTGTTGAAAGTAAACGTACACATTTATTTTTCTGAACCGAGGTTCTGCAGTGTTTGAATCACTCGAGCCCTGAGCCTTTTCTCCATTTGTGTTTCACTTTATTATCTACGCTACAGACGATAAATATCCGGCAACACAATGCAGCTCATTGTGACACACATGCTGGAAATAAAACTATAAAAGAATGAACAACATTATTCAAGTTGGCTTCGGGCAACCGCTGGAAAACAGATCCAACATCATTGCACATGTCTGTACATGGCCTGATGAGAAATTTGGCAAAGCAGACATCTATAGAGTCGGGACTGAATGTTCTGTTCCCACATGTGACTCCTGTGATCAGTGACGGCCCCCGTGTTAAGACTGCGTGACGACACACAGGTCAAAAAAAGGTTAAAACAAGAAAAACATAAGGCAGATTATCTGAATTTAAAAAAACTAACATTAATCCTCTCAGGAGATTCAAGCTGGAGAAACATAAAGCATCAGCGAAACAAAGGCTTGAAAATACCGTGTATGAGCAAGATACTGAACCAAAACATTCACTGGCAAAACTATGGCGTTATTCTTCTTTCTCTCGGCCACAGCAGCGTCCATTCACACCCACCAACAATGAAGTATATCCACCCTCAGGTACAACGAGCCCAGATGAAACATGAATATTGCTTTGGTAAAACAAAAGATGGAGAATCCACCGGTGAACGGAAGTTTAAGGCAACGAACTGTGTGAGTTACCGTCACAGGAACGTGAGACATGGTGGATGCAACCGTGCAGACAGACACCAAACAAACTGGAGGGATGTGAGTTGTGAGCAGCTGTTTTCAGAATTGCTCCTCAGTGGAAAATGTTAGCAGATGGGTTCATATTTTTCCACGACTGTTCTCAAACAGTGATCTTGCCCATGTGTACATTAAAACTGATTTTTTTTTTTTTGCTCAGTTTTCAGTGCTCAAACAAAGAAACCCCTTCCTGTTCGTGCTCCCAGGGAAAGAGACGAGGGACAGAATCCACAGTCCACGTACCACAGAAGTGACATTTGACTTCTTTATTACCCAATTCCCTCTTTGTCTCTCCTGATTCTCTCTCTCTGTGAACAGGGAACATGTTGTGACCGAGACAGTAACTCATCCTGACTGAGATTGCCGAGGCCTCGTGGTGAGAAGTGAATTTTATCCCTCATCTCTTCCACTGGAAACACATTACAGACATTTTTAATGGAACGTGTCGGATAGGAGGAACATTTACAAAAACGAAATACACATACGGGCACCTGACTGTTAAAATAATTTGTAAATACTGTAAATTAATCCATAGAGGCCAATGAAACAATAACGTCCATAAAACGTCTCTAAATGCATCAGCTTATGTCAAAGGCCTCTTGCCTGAGTCTGCAGCTGCCTTGGAAACATGATTGATCGTTGGGCTACATGAACATCAGAGAATCTGCCTAAAGTAGTGCTGCTTTGTTAGTAAAATAAATCATGTGGAATATTGCCCTGTCAATATGTTTCAAACGAAACATAAACTGTCCTCTCAGTGACGGGAGCCTACACAGCTGCAGCGTGCATCAGTAGCAGTAGTAGAGTTGCGAGCGCAGCCCCCTGAAGGTGTCGTCGTCCTGCCCGCTGCTCTGCTCGCCTTCAAATAACATGGAGTCTGGGAGCACCACACCCTCTAGTGGATCTGGCTGACAAAACTCCACTATGAACTCCTCCTCACAGTCCAGCAGCAGCCTGGACCACGCGCACATGTCCAGCTGGCCCGCGGTGCCGCCGTACTCCTCCGGCAGAACCGAGCGGGGGATGTTCCGGTGCAGAGAGCGCAGGTCTGAGCCGTGGAGGATGTACTGTCGGAGAGAAGACAGCAAAGACACCAGCTTCATTAACGTAAGTGGCTGGAATTAAAAAAAAATGTAATGGAAATCAGCTGAGTCATTTTTTAATGCTGACGAATAAACAGACAAAAACAAAACCTCCTCGGCGGAGATAATGAACACCCGTGCCTACAGTTCCTCAAAGCTCCTTCTCTCCCACATTTGCTTTTGGTGCACTCACATTAAATTATCTGTCCGGCACCAGACAGCTTGTGACAGAAGTGGAGCACATATTTTCATCAAGAGCTTGTGGAAGTTGAAAATTGGAATCACTTTCACCAACTGGCCAGAAAAATGACCCTTCAGCTGCTCTCATGGTGAATTATCCAGAGCGGCTGCATGTGAGTTGATTGTGAAAACATGCGACTGTATGGTTATTTACCACATCAAGTTAAAAGGTAATGACACCTTCCATTTTTCACAGATGAAAATGATTTCGGAGCACAAGCTGCAGATAGAAGTGAAGCCAACAATTCAAAAACAGGAGCCAGAGAAAACTCAAGGACGACAGTTACCCTCTCTGCCATCTTCTCCTTCAGAAACGGTTTAATTATAGCGAAGATGCCTTTGAAAATCCTCGGCTCGTTAATGATGTTAACGGCCTTGATCCTGATTGGAAATCCATCCTGTGAATGAGAAGAGAAGCTGCGTTGAGAACAGGCACATCTGGTGCTGTCACACGTCTCATGTGTGATTTGTGTGCTTATGTAAATATGACCCACTGCAGTCAGTCAACAGGCAGTGCTCGAGAGCCTGTGTGTCATATTTACTGATGTGGTAACAAAATGAAATAACATTTTGAGAAACTGCTGCAACCATGTGCTCATCACCTATCATCACAGGTTCTTACCTGGAGGATGCTCACAACCTTTTTGGCGAGGAATGGGCCTGGATTGGACGCCTGCGACATGCCCACACCAGTGTAGTCGGCCAAGATGACAATACCGTTCACCTGCGTCTCCTCGGGCTGGATCAGCTTCTCCAGCGTCAGATAAATGGCCCTCACGTTGTCAACAAATGGATAATCGTTTGGTTTCCACTTTCCTGCAAAAGACGAGTGAGCTGAGTGATTGTAGATCCTGAGTAACGCACGTACTGGAAGTACTGTCAGTAAGTGGCAAAGAGCGATTTATAATAAAAACACAGAGTTTAAGCTCTAACGTGTCACGTGACAGCTAAATGAATGATAGTAATTATAGAGGGTGAAGTTGTTGCCAATGTGCTGAATTGACAGATGAGGATGAAGCAGACCTGGCCGGAGACAAAGGATGTATCGTCCGTTGGGTTCCGGCCGGGGCAGGACCGTTAGAAAGCCCAGGTCCAGGACGTGCTTCACTGTGGATGGCTTCAGATCCTGGAACACCTCTGGCCAGGCTTTACGACCTGAGTGGTAATTGAGCAGCAGCTGCAGCGCACGGTCATAGTCGAACTTCCTGGCCCGCAGGAATCGTAGGAGGAAGGAGTCGTCCAGCCTCGTCCTGAGATTTGGCTGTTCCTGCAGAGTCAGGTGGAGGAAGAAAGCACTCACTGAATAAAGACAAACCTGTGATGTGTTTTTCCAGGTTCATTTTTCTTTACCGGCCAACATACGCACATTACTGGTCTAATAAAAGTGTCCCTTGTCGTTGAGATGTGAGTGAACTTCTGCTGTTTGTGTATCGGTTTTGGTATAAAACTCCTGAAGATATGAAACTATACAGTACTTGAGTAAATGTACTAAGTTAATGTTCATCACCGGAAATCGGTGCCAACTTTCATTACCGGACAGATTTTGGGGACTGGGACAAAGTCCCCTGTCCTATTTGAAATGTTACTCATATCTAAAGGTACAGTTATTCTGTAATGAGACTGTTTATGTTATTACGAATAAAAGTACAGAGCAGAACCTTCAGTATCATGTCTCTCAGTGCCTGCACATCCCGGAGACGCCACTCTGGTTTCTCCTGTAGCTCCTCCCGTGCCTTGGCCACCAGCTCAGGGGTCAGGGTGCAGGAGTAGATGGGCGGAGGGGGTCCAGGGAACCAGCTGTGTCCTGCGGCTGCGGATGGGTCCACCGGGGGAGACATGAGATCGATGGACTCATGCTGATCAGCCATGGACGGACTGGGAGAAGCTGCAACACACAGAAAAGAGACACCTGAGTGTACAAACACAAAAGCTTGGGTTACGGCCCAGAAACTAGTTTGTCAAATGTTGGACACGTTAATAACTTAACATTTGTATACTGTCTCTCAAAGGACAAGCTGTTAACTCAACTTATCAACCAACAGCACCGTGTAGAAATACTCTGTCTGCACGAGTAAATGTAGTAATATCACATTTGTAAACATCTATATATATATATTACGTGGAAGAATAAAAAGTGAGTCCAGTGTGAGAGCAGCTGAATGTTGGACAGACACAGTGTTGACAGTGAGTCACAGTCTGACCTCAGCACAGTTCGACCACAGTGACTGGAACGAACCTGGAGAAGCGGTGGACATGAAGCTCTGATCACGGACACAGACGCGTTTTCTCACTTTCCATTGATAAACGACAGAGACGCGTCAGAAAACAACAAACAGCCGCAGAATCCGCAGCGTCAACACAACAAGCCGCCAGAGGGGGGGAAGCCTGTTTCCGGGTTTTCAGAAACGGACATCTCTCATTGGTCCACCCGGATCATGTGACGCCGTGACGCATTCGTGTGCTTCCGCTGTTTTGGCGACCGTGCTGCCTTCAGGTGCCGCTGGGAGAATTCTCCAACACGACACGTCGCATAGTCGAATTAAAAAAAAAAACTTATGAGGTATAATTCGCCCAGATTCACTCATGAACCGCTCTCCACTGTGCCGGTGGAGGGGCGGGTGAAGTGTTCGAGTCCGCGAAACACTTCAGGGATGAACGGGGCTGCACCCACATCCATTACAGTCGAAGTAAATGGAGACCAATTGTTCAAACAGAAAAAAAAACAACAGGAAAAAAAATGCCTCCATATTCCTGTGGCGTCATCCAAGTGTCCATAATTCAATTGAGGACAACAGAGGACATTCAGGCTGAAGACATAAATGTAAATGTCACCTATACAAGTTGTAAAGCATCAACAACGTCCTGCACACTGTAGAAAGCTCTTCTCTTCGCTGCTGGCATTCTGCTGCAGGAGGATTTTAGTGGTGGCTGCTGTTTATTTATTACATAACCTCCTCCTGTCCATTGCAGTGAGGTCACACAGTTCTGTCCGTCTGGCCTCATGCGCTCCACTCGCCTCACATGCAGCCCTCCACAACGTTTACATCCTACATCCTCCAAAACATCCCAGAACATCCAGTGCCAGTTTCTGCCTCGTGCAACGAGCACACACGGTTTCTGACTGTGGATTTAATTCTGTTTGCCAGTTGTAGTTCGCCTGCTATGTGGTCAAGATGATGACTTCAGTCTCTTCTGAATTTAGCTGCAGGACGTTTTACAGGACATTCATAAGTGCAAAGCAGCAGAAAATGAAAGTACTTCCACCACTGGGTTACTGTAACATGTGAATACCTGCATACATGTTTATCCGCACTTAAACTGCCCAAATTAATTCATCACACTTTCCTGCAGAGACCAGATGCGTCAGTTACACTTGAAACCAGTTGATGGCAGCGTTTGTCTGCTCAGCCACAGTCTGCAGCTCGATCCCCTCAGGCCACATGTGGTGTTAAGGTGCCCGTCAGGTATGTTCACAAATCTGAAAAGGTTTTAAAACACGTCAAAGTAATAACTTCGTATTAGTGTGTGATGGTGTTGAGGGAAGATACTGGATATATTTGGATACATGTAGGTGTGACCTTCATGTATATGGCCTTCAGTTATGTCTAAATGCAGCTTGTTGGCATCAGCTAACTTGTAATGTTGCTCAAAAGTAATAAGCCAACATAATAGGGATTGTAAAATATATCTCCCAGATTGTCTTAAGTCCTCTCAGAGTTGAGTCAGAGCTGCGTACAGTGATTTATGGCAGTTTATCATGTTGCTTATCAGTGAACAAGCAGCACTGCCACGTTGGAGCTGTGATTTTTCCTCCAGAATGTCGAATATATCTTCTATTCTGCAGTTACCTCCACCAAGGAGGTTATGTTTTCACCCCGGGCTGTTTGTTTGTTTGCAGTTTACTCAAATTTATATATTTTTTTTTTTAAAAAGGGGAAAGTCAACTTTTCACATTTTAGAAGCTGGAACCATAAAATGTTTTAAATTGATCTTTTTGACATTTTTACCTAAAGGATTAAAACATTTTAATTTTAAGATTACACAAACACTACTGGACAGATTTCCATGAAACCTTTAAATGGTGTTGATCAAGACGAGGGACAAACCCTGGAACTTGTTTTCACTTTCTTTATCAATGTTGGATAGAATGTTTTTCAGCATTTCTCAGAGAATATCTCATGGATCTTGAGGAAAAATATCAGGAATCAAGGGAACATATATTTAAATATATATGTGCTAATAAAAATTCTGGATCTGGTGAATTTAAATTTGTTTTAATGGGTCTAAAGACACATTTTAGTTATAAAAACAACCCCCGTTCATTCTTCGGTAAAGTCTTCCCCATGATTATTCAGTGGTATAAAACATGGTCGGCAGAAAATGTAAAAATAGATCTTGAGATTTATTATTTCATGTTCACATTGTAAGGCGAAACATTGCCTGTTTTTAAAAGGCAGTACAGGTTACAAGGCACAATTATTTCCATCAGTTAAACCATGACAAAGTACTAAACAAAAAATATAATATATATTTTAAAAACCAATACAACACATCATTGGGAAACGTCCTCAGTGTGTCTGTGTGTGACTTTCACAAAGTGGCACCACAGAGAATTTCAACATGTTTTACTTTTGTAAATATGCATTTTCTGGCGTATAAAACCAACCACGTACATTTTAGCCTTGTCACAGAATCTTTAAGAGACCAGCACGTTACGCTTTCTGAGCTCACGTGTGAAAACATTTTACCACCAACGAACATAAAATAAAAATACTGTGCAACACTAAATACATGCCAGTGTAAGGCCAGTTGTAACATTCTTAAAGTAGTGACGTGATCGCATCACCACGCCTAACAAAATCCTTTCTGCACACTGAGGCCATGCTAAATGATGTGATGTCACCCAAGAACAAACTCTATGTACAACATCGTGTGTCTCTAAGTGTCGATCTCACAGACCGACGGTTTCAATGCTGATGGTTTTGTGTGGCTGTCAGTGCAGCTCCTCGGCACCTGCATGTGAGAACAAATAGATCCCTGAAGACTCATAATCTGCAAGGGACATAATTGCAATTACATTCTGTTTGTGTAGCTACCTCATTGTTTCAGTCAAGTTAACAGCTTCGATGCTGATTGTGTATAAACTTACATTTAATGATCTAACACAATATAAAAACTGGTGGGATAAGAATTCAGAGGGTTGTTAGATGGCCTCTTGTTTTGTAATGGTGGGCTGAGGGATTGAGGTTGGCTGCTTCGGCGCAGTGGCTATGACCCCCTGAGCCATTTTATAATGTTCTGAGCTGGAGGCAGTAGGCGGAGACGGGATCGGGGTTTCAGGAGTGGCTGGAAAGTGGAACACAGAGAAACAGGAGCAAGTGAGAAAGAGAAAGTGCAACATAAGCAGGTGTATATTTATCGTTCTGCGGTATAACATGTCCTGAGGGACAAAAAGATTGTTTTGAGATAAGGAATAAGCACTTTTGTGAAATTTCTCAGAGCATTAAACATGCTAAGAAAGAATAACAGAAGTTCTCTTTGACTAAATAAGCCAGATTAGTTTGCATGAAGAACTTAGAGGATTATTCAGCCGAGCCTGTTTTCCATCCCAGGTTCCTGACCAGACTGCACATGGAGCACTGGGACCAGAAATTAGAAACTGAACTTGAAGGTGAAGGTGACATTTGTGCCAATTTGTCTTGTGCACTTACAGATTTGACCATTGTGGATGGGCGTCGGTATGTTGCCGGTCACTATGACGTTGCTGCTGAGGTGCTCTTGGACCAGATGAGGGTGCAGACAGTGAGGTGCATGTGGAGCTTCACTGGCAGAGCCTGAGAGACGAAACACACAAATATACTGTCAGACAAAAAGCACATCTGACTGCACAAAGGATGCAACGCTGAGTCCGTCCACCTATCGTCTACACATAGAAAGCCTCCAGCCCAACAGGGATCTGATCCTGGAACCTTCTTGCTGTGCTAACTTCCATGCTCCCCCCCCTCTCTGTCTCCAATACTCCTTGATTCTTTTAAAAATCATGTCAGTTGCAAATGATCTGAAAGCGCCCCCACCTCCGAGGAGCATCTCTTGCAGCAGGTTGTCGATCTTGGCCATGCCGAAGAGTTTGACAAACTGGATCTGTTCGATCATTTGCCAGGTGATGCTCTGTAGTGTCGGCAGCAGCAGGAGCAGCTCCCCGAAGCGGCCTCGGGAGTCGTACTGCCGGTCGTTGATGTAGTCCTCCAGGCTAACCTGGACCTGGTATCGCATCCGCTTGATTTTTCCAGGGTCACTCAGACCTTTGGCATCTGTTGGCAAATAAAAGCCTGGGTGTTTACAAGAGCGAGTCTGTTAATGAGTTGTAACTTTTCATCCGTGTACAGTGTGTGGATATTTTGTTTGGCCTGAAGAGAATCTTTCACAATCCAAAAGATTCACGAGGACTCGTACCTGGGTCAAAGAAAACTATGGCCTTCAAGCAGGCGTACTCGTTGTCGTCTATCTGGAGCTCCTGGAACGGAAGCACGAGCTCGTCCAGGATCCTCACTGATACCCTGCCCACCTCCAGCTCCGGACAGTTTCTGGGAACGATGTGGTCATTTCCTGCAGGAGAATTGAAAACACCAGATTAGAGTTTCCTCGTGGATGAGGCGTCTGCAGAAATGGGGAATGCATTTTGAGAATGTGAGGTTTGGTGAAATATTCGTGCAGGTGTCAGGTTTTACCTAATAGGAGGATATCTTTGTATAGCATGGACCTCTTTGCAGCACCGAGCAGGAGATGTTCTCCGGCATGAGCTCGCAGCAGCGCCACCTGAAACACGATGAGTTCATTTACTGATTAGTTGTGAGATCGTGACTCTTGGTAAAATGAATCTTGAAGCTCGGTTTGAAAAGTGAAGCTTCATAATAAGAAAGAGACACACCGATGTAATCAGTTACCAAGGCCTGGTGATCAACTGTTAATGATTCTGCATTTGTTTTTCGAGGAGGGATGTAATTTAAAACAAGCTCATCATATTCTAACTCAGGATTAAAACCCATTAACCTCTGTGGTTGAAGACTTCAGGGTTTTGAGTCCATGATTGTTTGTTGTCTTCTCTGGGACATATTTATTAATTCAGAGCATTTGCCTGAATGAGTCTATACCTGTGAGCTCCTGTCGTCCACACCGTGGTTCTGAGTGAACTGGTTGATGAGTGACCAGAGTGTCTATACAACTGTGTACACTGTGTGTGTGTGTGTGTGTGTGTGTGTGTGTGTGTGTGTTTGTGTGTGTGAGTCTTACCTGGTCATCCAGGGGCAGGTCAGAGAAGGCCGGGATGTACTTGGCCCACTCCACCAACACCAGCAGCTGCTGCTTCATGGACTCGCACACGTCAGTGATGGTGGCGATCTTCTTGGTCCTGATGTCGCCGTTGAGCAGGGGAGCCGGGGAGGTGATCTGCAGGAGGCGAGGGGCAGATGTGAAATCACTCTGGGTCTAATTACAGGTGGCAAAGTCAGATGTGAGTCCCACACACGATGCAGTACCTGTCTGGACAGCATGTCTGCCTGGATGAGTGCATTGATGGATGGTAAACTGCTGTCTTCGTAGCTGGACCTCCTGGTGCTGATTCTGTCTCGTTCATTCTGCACAGCTGAAAACAAACAATCGCTGGTTTGTGTTCAGGTGGAACAAGCGGGAGAAAAAAAATGTGTGTTGCAGTTCAGACGATTTTAAAACACACAAAAAAAAAAAATGCTTCCTGGTTTTCTTTTTGGACGCTGAGTCATTTAAAAGAAAAATACGTCTCCCAAGGTTGTCATGTTTATCAGTATATATAGCTGTTATTGCTCAGAAGTGTTTGCTCAGCATAAGCCGCTCTGAGACTTCAGCGCTTCGCAGAGTGAACATTAACAAAGTGCTACTCTCCCGGGTGTTGCAACACATTCACACGAGTCGTGTCAGTTCAGCAGGGACGACTCACACCACGCCTGTGATTTGCTGAGACACAGTTTGAGTCTTTTTTAAAGTGTCCTACCTTCTTTCTTCATGCCGGCTCTGAAGCATTTCTTCAGTCGGCAGTATCTGCATTGATTTCGCTTGTCTTTGTCCACGATGCATTGTCTGTTGAACCTGGAAAGTGATTGGAAAAAAGGTTTGTTGAGGTGAAGACGTTAGAACTGCATTTATTGACTCATTGAGGAATTGTGAGGAGGATAACTTTGGATTTTAGACAGTTGGTTTTACGAAACAAAGATTAGAAAGACTTCTGGACGGCTTCCTGACAACATATGGATAAAAACATCGATTGATTATTAACGGAAATAATTGGCAGATGTTTTGATAATCACAAAAGTCATGAGTTGAAGTTAGAGAAGCGATTGGAGTCCTATGGTGGATTGATGATTTACTCAGACTCTCTCTCCGTCCTCACCTGCACGAGTACATGTGATTTTTGCGGACGCTGCGTCTGAAGAAGCCCTTGCAGCCGTCACAGCTGGAGGCCCCGTAGTGTTTGCCAGTGGCTCGGTCTCCACATATGGCGCACAGGCTGCCCGCTGCCAGGTGGCCGGTGGCGTTCATGTTGGCGCTTTCTGCCGGTGAAGAGTCTGTCACAACGAGAGACGACAGAAAGACACATGTCCTGAGTTTTAGACAGTGAAAGAAACTTAATTTGGAGTGAGAGGAGGAATATGTTTGATCATGAGGCTGTGAGGTTTCAGCCGGTTTGATTTAATAAGGTGTGAACAGCCGTGGTGAAGACAGTGATCAGCTCTCGTACAACAGAGATCCCGCCTGAGTGGCTCAGTCAACAGAGAGCGATTGATGTGGGCTTGATTAGCTCGGAAAAGTCAATCACAGTTTTCTTTTCAGTCACGAGACGGAGTCAATCAATCACGCAGAATCAGTCATGACACATTCTATAGATTAAAAATGTGCTTGTGATGACTCGGAACACTGTCATCCATCTTTGTGGCAGAGCAGAAACGTGTGAGCAGCGTTTAGTGGTAAAGGTAAAGTTTTCTCTCAGGCTCAGTGGGAATTTAAGAATCAGGATCACAGCCAGGCGTCATGGGAGACTGAATATATAAATATGTTAGTGTCATCGGGAAAAAAAACTTCTCTCCAGACTGTGGGAACAGGCCGTTTGTAACAGGAGAACCATGATCATGATACTCAGAGAATAAATAACAGTCCCCTCTAATCAATCTGACACCACATCGCTGCACAAGCTGAAACAGGCCAAATCGGCGTTGACCATTTGACCTGAGCAGAACTCTCGTAAATCAGAATCTCTTAATGTTTCACACCCAGAGGTGAAGGACCTCTGCACACCAGGATCTCCCCTGGATGGACAAATGACCCCTTCTCCTTTTTTTTATTAATCACTTCACGCCAGAACTCCCTCTGTCCTCTCGTGAACGAAGTTTTAAACCAGCAGAAGTTTCAAAGTTCAGAGCAGCATGTTTGTCACTCACCTGTGCCCAAAGGGAGCACTTGCATGTTTTCGAACTCCAGGGTGGTGTAGGCCGGGTCCAGGGCCTCGCTGTAGTCTGCCATGTCCATGTCTGCTGCTTTGGACAAACAAATTCTCAACTACCTGACAGTGTGGCAGAAAGACTCGTCCAAGAAGCTAATGTGCCCCTGACCCTCACCCCCTCCTCCTCCTCCTCCTCCTCCTTCTCTTCTCACACCTCCACAAACCCCCCCCACACCCCCCACCCCACACCCCCTCTTGCTCTTTTCCAGCCTGGCTCCGCCCAGTAACCAGATTGCTCCCTGGGGCCTGGCGGGAGTGTGATGGGACCCGGTGGTGTCACAGAGAGGAGAGCGGTGAGTGACAGGAGAGCTCGCCTCCTTCTCCTCCTTCTCCTGCCCTCTCGTGCCGCTAACCAGCCAGAGGAGAGGTGGAGTGTCTGTGGTTGATGGTTAACCAGCCTCCTCAGTGGTGAATCACAGGCTTGTTTTTTTTTTGTGCAGAGGAGATAGGACAACTTTGATATCTCCCAGCTCCGTCAGTAATATGAAAACCACTTCTCCACCACAGCGCTGTCGGGTCAATCCTGTACCAAATCTCTCCAACACCTTTAAAAGTCATTCTATAGACAGTCCTGACGGTAACACGCTGAAATCACATGCACACGAGTTAAGAGCAGCTAAGAACAAACAAAGGTGCAGTTTGGATTCATGTGTCTGTGCAGTGAGAGGTGACTCAATTCTTTTTCTCAGAGTCACTTCCCTCGGGCGGGAGACCGCGGCCCATCAGAACCGACACCTCGCGGCCTCATCGATGAGGACAGGGACCCCAGCACTTCATAAATCTGAAAAACCCACTTCTGATGGAGAAATGTGAACGTTCTGTGGTCAAACTGTAAAAACCCTCAATTGTACAGATCTGTTAGTATTTATTATATTCGGATACTATTCTGTTAATTTCATAGTTTTGTATTTATGCTCATTACCAACAAACAACAGCAAAGGTGGATTTAAAGTAAATACAACTCTGAGGTATTTTTCACTCTACTACCTTTATCTGATAGGATTTATTATTTATTATGAGACTACGGGCCCTTGGTTAGTACGAGGCCCCTCCCCCCCAGGTGTGAGAAGTAAATTTATTTCATGTACATAATTATATTTCCAGGTACTTTCACTCTTACTGCACTACATATATCAGCATAAGTCTGTACTTTCTACTCCACTACAGTTTTACAAAGCATTGACGATCACATTGTTTTCGAGTAATCAACGACGAGAGGGGAATTAGTCCGATGATCCAATCAGAGCGGGCAGGTATAAAGTTAGGCTCCGCCTCCTGCAGCAGAGGAACAAACGCTCGGGCTGCGGTTGGAAAACAAAAACTATCTCCTTCCCTTTGACCATTATTCCTCAAAGAAGGATGTTCTAAACTATTTACGAGTTGAGAACATTTGAACAACACATTCCTCCTCCTTCCAATATTTATATAATAAGGAGAGCAAAGAAAAGGTTCACGTGTGACACATAGATCAATTTAAAACGTGCACGTTAGAGCACGTCTCTCGTGTTTGTGAAGATGGATATGAAGTTTGACAAAAGTAAAAGTGAAACATTTGACAAGTTCACACAAGAAGCTTCTATTTAATTTGACTGTAAAAAAGTTCTTCTTGGTTTATAAGCGATGTCGTCCGAGTTGTTGTTGCAACCTTAGTTCATGTGAGACTCTTTATTCCGATTTGTTAATTTTCTCAAGTTGTGGAACTTTTCCTTCTGCTTAAAGGTTCAGTGTGTAGAATTTAGTGACATCTAGTGGTGAAGTTACATGTTGCACCTCCCCCTCCCCTTCCAAACAATAATAGAGAACCTGTGGCGGCTTCAGTTCTCATAAAAACTCAAAAGGTGTTAAGTTTGTCCAGTATAAGCAACTGTAAAAAAAACGCCCCCACAAGACACACGCCAAAAGACAAAAGAGGGTTCGAACTTTTTCTGACTGTATTTTTTTGACTCAATCATGACAATAATCCCGACACTGTGAGAGTATCACAACGTGCACAATGTGATATCATTCCTTTTATAACCTGCTGTTAATATCTCGCCTTTCCTTGTGAGCGCCGAACAAACACCTGATTCCTCAGGAGGTCAGATAAGACGTCAAACTATTTTTAACGTACCCTGAAACTTCCGAGCACAGTAAATCTACACTGACTTCCTCTGCACAGATACCAAATATGACAGTCCACTATAAAAGAACAGGTTTTATTTTCTTCTTCATACTCTAAACTAATTCTGTGATCAAATCTGATTCAGAACACAAACAAGACTGTGTTTCTTTCTTTCAACAACTTTAAGTTTATTATCAAATCAAGATTGTTTTTGTCAGTTTGTAACGTCGTGTCCTCAGAAGACTGAATTTACCCTGTGAAAGGTTTTTCTCTGATTATTCCCGACTCAGTACAGCAGCTCCAAATGTTGGACTCTGCATGAATGCATCTATGATAATAAAACCACGACAATATACAAGTAATGATAATAATATAACAGCCTGAAGTTTTTATTTAATTTCTATCGAAGAGTCTGAACACTGGGCTTGTATCAGAGTATATCATGCAGTGTATGTACGCAGTGGTGCTGCGGGAGGCTCACTCGTCACATCATGTTGGATCTTTACTTCCCTCTGTGTCTAATACATCGGCGGTAAATCTTTAATTAACTATGGAAAATAACTTTCAGTGAAGCAAAGATGCTTTTACGCAAAAAGACTTGAAAAAGTAAATAGTCTGAACTCAGCACTTCTCTAGTCTTGATGAACTTTACTCATTCACACGGCGCACCTTCTCCATCGTGCATCAACCACACACTACTGGACCAGAGGAAATTTGAGGTTCAGCGTCTTGCCCGAAGACACTTTGGCCAAATGGGGACACTGGGATCAAACCACCAACCCTTCTCGTTAGTGGATGACACGCTCTGCCTCCTGAGCCACAGCAGCCCACAAGTTAATTCTGACACCAGAGAAGTTTGTGTTTGAAATTCAAGTCAAAAATTAAGTAGAAAGTGAAATGTTTAAGTTTGAAAGCATCAGTATAAAGTACTTATTTAAGTACAATCTCTTTTGTGCAGTACTTAAAGTAAATACTTCTTCTCCATCAGGGGATTTACTGTATGGATGTAGTGAAGTAAGAAGCATGTGTGATGACGGTGGTCACTTAATGAATTAAAGATTTCACACATGAAGCAAAATGAGAAGAAGACGCTAAAATAAATGTTCACATGTAAAAAAAAAAAACCCGACATGGTTTGAAAAAGCACATGTGATCTCAGACTCATCCTGAATCCGATTGTTTTCACAAACTAAATTCTCCGCTTGCGCAAAAGGCGTCCACCTCCTGCATGTAACCCAGCAAACAGTAGTTGTGTATTTGAAGAGAAAGTGCCAGTACATAACAATAGGTCAACGATCCCGAGTTCAGCCCGACCTCAGCAGCAGTAAAACCCCACGTAGGTGAACCTGTTAACTATGCACTCAAATTATACTGGGGACTCGTAAAAATTATTTTTCCCTCAGCGGACAAACACCGTAACATTCCTGGAGGCTCCTGTGCGCGATGCTGGGATGATGTGTTCAGGCGACACACACAGGAGGAAATGGACGTGATCAAGCTGTGATTAAAAACCCCACTGAAAACTAATCTTCTCTGAGCGTCAGCCACGTTCACAGATCCAGATTCATTGATCTCTGGCTCTTGCAGTGAGTGACTTCAGTCAAACTGCCTGATTAACTCAATGGAAACGACGACGCCCTCGATCAAAAAATGATTAGCGGCCTCCTCCGCGCTCCCGACCTGCTCACGGACGGTTGTTCTGCATCAGGTCGGAGCGTGTTGTTTCACTTGCGTGTACAGGGGTCAGCCATTACAACATTTCTGCGTGTTCGATCTGCAGTCGGTCATATTTGCTCAAGAAGCGTGCTGATTATTTCAAAGCGAGTGATCAGAGGGGGGAGGATGGGAGGATAACTGCGCGGCCATTGAGTCACCCGCAGCGAATCTTATCTCCCCCCGTCATTAAACGTCTTTTATTGCCGTCTCAATGTTAGATTTCTGTGAACTCCTCAAGGAAGGGTCATATA